GTGTGTAGTTTAGGGGGTGCAGTATGGGGAGGGTGTTCAGGGGTCTGGGTAAGACCTTCCTAATGTCCAGCTCACAGGACAACAATTGAATCCCCGGCAGACTGAGGCGTCCATCACTGCAGCATATCCACCGAGCACTTCACACACACATGGGGGTTGCTTTATTAAAGGCAAATAGACTGTGCACTTTGCAAGTGCAGTTGCTCCAGAGTTTAGTAAATGAGGTGAAGCTCCCCTTTGCCAAGAATACCCAATCACATGCAAGGGAAAAAAAAAAGCATTTTTACTCACACATGATTGGATGATGGAAGTCAGCAGAGCTTCTGCTCATTTACTAAGCTCTGGAGCAACTGTTCTTACAAAGTGCACAGTCTGTTTGTCTTCAGTAAATCAGCCCCTAAGTATTTATTATTATATAATAGTCTGCCGGTGACGCAGAGCGAGTGGCCAATGGCTCCTGCTGCCATCAATCCGCTCAGAGAGGAGGGAGGCAGTAGTGAGAGTTGCTGCTCTCGGGCACATCAATGGATCAGATTGGGCTCAGGTAAGAATAAGGGGGTGCTGGGGGGGATACAGCCAGGGTCGTAGATAAGGGGGGTACCACCAGTCCTACTGGCCAGGACAGCAGGGGGGCTCAGGCAGCTGGGTGAGTCCAATATGGGCAGGGAGGGTAAAGGATGAGCGGGGGGGGGGCAATTACTGGAACCGTGTTCATTCATAAACAAAGCATAGTAAACTGTATTTTTTTGGGGGGGAAGGGGGCCCTGTCAGGTTGGTTGTATGGGGCCCCGTGGTTGCTAACAGCGGTCCTGGATACAGCAGCACAGCACAGAAGTTTTTGCACCTTAATCCATAGAATGCATTAGGGTGAAAATCTTTAAGGGTGCTTTCACACGGGCGTTCTGTTTTTTTCATCAGTTCAGTCATGTTTTTTCAAAGAAAAAAAAACAGATCAGTTTACATTCGTTTTTCATCCGTTTACATCCGTTTCTTTCATTCTTTTTTCATCCATTTACGTCAGTTTTCTTCCATTTACATCTGTTTTTTCGTCCATTCCGCTTTTTTTGTTCATTTAGAAAATATATTTCTTCCGTTCAAAAAAACGGACATTAACGGATGTGAACGGGTGATCCTTCACTAGTCGGACAGATGAAAAACGGACATCCGGAACGCCCGTGGGAAAGGAGCCTAAGACTTTAGATCCACTTTAAACTTTGACAAAAACCTGGAAGCTGATTGGTTTCTATGCAGAGCTGCAGCAGATTTCTCTCTCTCCAGTTTTAGTAAATCACCCCGATATGTCTGTGTGGAGACCGATCTGCCCAGGGAAAAAAGGCAGCAAAGCTGAGATATTTCTGTGTGTTTTCTTTATAGCCCGGGTTCCACCATCGGCACCATCGCCGACACTTCAGCTGAATACCCGGCTAACAATCATACCGATTCACAAGTACAGTCAACCTTTGACGAGTATGCGCAATATAATTGCACCCTGGGGGACATCCCGCTCATTCCGCCAAACACAACTCCAGGTAGGTGAAACCATAATGGAATATTCATTAAAGTGGATGAGTGGCATCCAATAGAAACCATTATCCTACAAAATATGGGAGCGTAACAAGAAGCCCCCAGGTATCAAATCCCCCTGATTGAAGCGTCACCCTTGTGTGTTGCAGTAACGGCCAGTAAAGGGGAAGTTTTACTGCTCAGTAATACCTGACGAGGAGATTCTGGAAAGGTCAGATTACCAAATAGGTAGAGTAGGCACCGGCCCCCGCGGGCTCTTTTTTTTGCTGTAGAAGTTTTTAAGGATTCCATTCATTTTGCACTTAGGACTTTGTCCATACACATATGTGGGATTAATTTGCCAAAATGCTGGCCTGCAGAATTACCCTTCAAAAAGCTGTCGGTGGGGTTTCTCTTTCAGGTGGAACATATATTTGAGCTAAATTTGGATAAGTATATCCATAAGTTTTCAGAAGGAAACTTTTTTTAACCATTTTGGAAGGAGGGTAAGCGCTCATCTTAAAGGGAAACTGTTCCTTCTATTTTTACTCCTGTAGCCACGAGACAGTCCTTTTGTCACTTGCAGGCTTCGATCTCCAGGGCGAAGCCTGTGGACAGTTCCATAGAAATATTGGTCCTCTAAGTCAGACAAGGTGGACCCTAAGTCTCCAGCTCAATAAAGGAGGCACCCCCACTGGCTCGGGTGGGAGGACATTTGTGGAAGTGTGGCAGGGGGAGAAGATTGGGTCTGCTGTATGATCGCTCACAGATACAAGCTGGAATTCTGAGAATTTTGCACTCTTTTTTTTAATGCTTTTATACTTTCTATTAATCCCAAAAAAAATATTATTGCGGTTTCAGGCTCTCGGTAAACTTCTGTCTCAGGTAGTGATCATGCCAATTCTGGATTATAAAAGATTTCAAGAATTTAACCTTTCCAAAGCTAAACAGCGATGTTCAGCCTACACTGTTCCTGCAAGTACCTCAACAAATTTCAGATGGAGGGAACACTGGAGATTCTGATTGTACCTGCTTGGCCCAGGAGAACATGGCATTCAGACATTGTGATCATCTCCGTGGACAATCCTTGGAATCTTCAGGCTCAGCCAGACTTCCTGGCACAAGGTCTGATCCTCCACCTTGTTGTTACAGCCGCTGGCTGTATTGGAGTCTTGCAGAATAGAGGGGGCTGTCAGATACAGTCATATCCACCCTACTAAGAAGTAGCCAGGGTGGCTACTTCTATGAAGATTTACCATAAAACCTGGAAATCATATGTAGACTGGTGTGAGGTGGGGAACTTTCATCCTTGCAAATATTTTGAAGGTCAGATCTTGGCTTTCCTCCAGTATGCAGCTGATTTGAGAATGGCCTTGAGCACAATCAAGGAGCAGATTTCGGCCTTGGCAGCCCCTCTACATAGGCCACTTGCTTCTCATTCCTTAGTGTGTGCTTTTGTTCAATGTGTCACACATATGGTTCCTCCATGCATTCGCCATGGGATATTATGATTATTATTATTATTATTATACTGGACTTATATAGCGCCAACAGTTTGCTCAGCGCTTTACATTATGGAGGGAGACATTACAGTAACTATACAGTTCAATACAGGAGGGCTCTGCTCCTTGGAGCTTACAATCTAGGAGGGAGGGGATAATGGTAAAAGAGGTAATTAGCTGTGGGGGATGGAGTGGCAGGAAAAGTAGAGGATTCCAGTATTAGCTGGGGTTGGGGTAGGCTTCCCTGAAGAGATGGGTTTTCAGAGTGCGCCTAAAAGTGAGCAGATTAGGCAATAACCTGATAGATTGGGGTAGGGAGTTCCAGAGGATGGGTGAAGCCCTTGAGAAATCCTGAAGATGAGCATGGGAGTAGAAGACAAGGGAGCTAGAGAGTAGGAGGTCTTGCGAGGAGCAGAGAGTATGGTTTGGGTGGTATTTAGAGACAAGGTCTGGGTGATGTAGTTTGGGGCGGAGTTATAAATGGCTTTATACATCAGTGTTAGTGTTTTGAATTTTATCCGTTGGGCAATTGGAAGCCAGTGGAGGGATTGGCAGAGAGGGGTGGAGGACACTGAGTGGAGGTCAGTGGAGGGATTGGCAGAGAGGAGTGGAGGACACTGGGTGGAGGCCAGTGGAGGGATTGGCAGAGAGGGGTGGAGGACACTGGGTGGAGGTCAGTGGAGGGATTGGCAGATTGGCAGAGGCGGGGGTGGAGGACACTGAGTGGAGGTCAGTGGAGGGATTGGCAAAGAGGGGTGGAGGGATTGGCAGAGAGGGGTGGCAGATACAGAGCGATTACTAAGGTGAATGAGTCTGGCAGCAGCATTCATGATGGACTGGAGTGGGGATAGCCTGCGATGAGGTAGGCCAGTGAGGAGGGAGTTACAGTAGTCGAGGCATGATATAATAATTGAGTGACTGAGTTACTTAGTGGTTTCCGGGGTTAGGAACGGTTGTATTTTGGAGATGTTGCGGAGGTAAAGTCTACATGAGTTTGTCAGCGATTGGACCTGGGGCTGAAAGGACAGATTGGAGTCCAGGATTACACCTAAAATAAAATAAAAATCTGTTTGGTGTAGCGCTAGGCCGTAAAAAAAACAGTATATAAATATATATATAAATCTTGATGATACCAAATAATCAAACAGACAGGTAAATGCACATAAAATCACTCCCCATATATCGCCCCAATGGGGGTACCAGTGAATAACTCAGTGAACATACAGTGGTTCCAGAGCAAGAACACAAAACAGTGTAAGTGTAGCACACTCAATAGGTGGTAATAGTGAGTTCCTACACAGTCCACTTCAAACACAAGTGTACAAATCTTCATATACGTGAGAGTGCCACTGGTGTCACAATCCTTAAGTGGCCTGAGTGCCCCCTCACCTCCTTGCAATGACCACAAGGGCCAGCACACTTTGTTGTATATAACACATATCCCTCAGGAGCCACCTTGTCTAATAGGCCGTACTGGATACCACACCAGAGCCACCGTCGTCCAGATCTCCTCCAGCCACTGATTATTCTTATTCCTTGGTGGTCTTGCTTGCTCCACCTTTTATATTCTTCTTTGTTGGTGTTATTGTAAGCCAGTACTGTACTACACTGACTATAGAATGTTCCAGACTTTTCTCAGCACAAAGATTCAATGCCTTTAAAGCAGAAGTCTTGACTACAGTTTCGGGCATGCCCCCTTATCCCCTCTGCTGTTTGAGCACACAGCTCTGAAGGAGACAACATTTTATACATAATGTTCCTTACATGTCATTGCAGAACCAACAACTGTGGAGACAACTACAACTGCAACATCCACATCATCAGCACTTACTACAACTACAACTCCAGGAGCAAGTACGACTACAGAAGTACCAACTACAACAGTCCCCCACCTACAACTACAACAGCAACAACTACAACTGTCCCACCTACAACTACAGAAGTACCAACTACAACTGCCCCACCTACAACTACAACAGTAACAACTACAACAGTCCCACCTACAACTACAACAGCAACAACTACAACTGCCCCACCTACAACTACAGAAGTACCAACTACAACTGCCCCACCTACAACTACAACAGTAACAACTACAACTGCCCCACCTACAACTACAGAAGTACCAACTACAACTGCCCCACCTACAACTACAACAGTAACAACTACAACTGCCCCACCTACAACTACAACAGTAACAACTACACTATCCCACCTACAACTACAGAAGTACCAACTACAACTCTCCCACCTACAACTACAGAAGTATCAACTACAACTTCCCCACCTACAACTACAGAAGTATCAACTACAACTTCCCCACCTACAACTACAGAAGTATCAACTACAACTTCCCCACCTACAACTACAGCAGTACCAACTACAACACCAACAACGACAGCACCTAAGCCCCATACTGAAAAAACCTATACTTGCTTTTTCACTATACATATGAATCTGGACTTCATACCAGAATATTGGGATCCTTTATCTGAGGAATACATGGAACTTGTAGGAAAAATTCAGTATTATGTAAGTATAAGAACATCTGTTATTGGCCTAAATATTATCGGGAATTTCTCGCCATTCATGAATTTAATCTTGTAGACAGTTTACAGGGAAACTATAATGGTATCGGGTCATTTCCATGAATTTCACAGCAAGTCTCCAGTAACTATTTAGAACATAATTGGGGGAAGCCCGTGTGCTTTAAAAAGATAGAGCCGCAACTCGCATCCTGTGAGTGATGGATGTAGAAGTATTGCTCTCACTTCAACATCTGCCTTCATACCTCACATGTGTGGGGTAATATAGACACGTGTGGGGTAATATAGACATGTGTGGGGTAATATAGACACATGTGGGGTAATATAGACACGTGTGGGGTAATATAGACGTGTGTGGGCCGTTTCATTCTTAATTTCGTCACTATTCCTCCCACTGACACCAATGATGGGCCACTATTCCTCCCACTGACACCAATGATGGAACACTATTCCTCCCACTGACACCAATGATGGGACACTATTCCTCCCACTGACACCAATGATAGGGCACTATTCCTCCCACTGACAGCAATGATGGGGCACTATTCCTCCCACTGACACCAATGATAGGACACTATTCCTTCCACTGACACCAATGATGGGGCACTATTCCTCCCACTGACACCAATGATGGGGCACTATTCCTCCCACTGACATCAATGATAGGACACTATTCCTCCCACTGACACCAATGATGGGGTACTATTCCTCCCACTGACACCAATGATGGGGCACTATTCCTCCCACTGACACCAATGATGGGACACTATTCCTCCCACTGGCACCAATGATGGGATACTATTCCTCCCACTGACACCAATGATGGGGCACTATTCCTTCTACTGACACCAATCATGGGGCACTATTCCTCCCACTGACACCAATGATGGGGCACTATTCCTCCCACTGACACCAATGATGGGGCACTATTCCTCCCACTAACACCAATGATAGGACACTATTCCTCCCACTGGCACCAATGATGGGACACTATTCCTCCCACTGACACCAATGATGGGGCACTATTCCTCCCACTGACACCAATGATGGGACACTATTCCTCCTACTGACATCAATAATGGGGCACTATTCCTTCCACTGACACCAATGATGGGACACTATTCCTCCCACTGACACCAATGATGGGGCACTATTCCTCCCACTGGCACCAATGATCGGACACTATTCCTCCCACTGACACCAATGATCGGACACTATTCCTCCCACTGACACCAATGATGGGACACTATTCCTTCCATTGACACCAATGATGGGACACTATTCCTCCCACTGACCCCAATGATGGGACACTATTCCTCCCACTGACACCAATGATGGGGCACTATTCCTCCCACTGACACCATTGATGGGGCACTATTCCTCCCACTGACACCAATGATGGGACACTATTCCTCCCACTGACACCAATGATGGGGCACTATTCCTCCCACTGACACCAATGATGGGGCACCATTCCTCCCACTGACCCCAAGGATGGGACACTATTCCTCCCACTGACACCAATGAGGCGGCACCATTCCTTCCACAAAGTCCGAGGCATTGTTTGTTTCCACTGAATCCAGGATATTTTCTACTCCCGCTGTCCACAGTCCGGCCCCCCTACAGTCTGAAGGCCCTTTGGTTAGGAAGTGTGGAATCCTCTGTTCTAATCCTTCCACATTCTTTAATAAAACAAATCTTTGTCCTGACTTATACTTGGAATGAAATTCTCAGATGAAATATTAATCCTGTAAATGTAGACGTGACGGATCCATAATACTAATGATGGACATTCTCCCGGCAGGCTCTCATAATCATCCGAGTAACGAACCCCGACTGTATGGCTGTCCGTGTACTTCGCTTCCAGTAAGTCACCCCAATGTAATCTATAGGGGAGGGGGGTGCAGTATAGGGGAGGGGGGGGGGGGTGCAGTATAGGGGAGGGTGGTGCAGTATAGGGGGGGGGGGGGGGTGCAGTATAGGGGAGGGGGGTGCAGTATAGGGGAGGGGGGGCATTATAGGGAAGGGGGTTCAGTATAGGGGAGGGGGGGTGCAGTATAGGAGAGGAAGGGGTGTGCAGTATATGGGAGGGGTGCAGTATAGGGGAGGGGGGTGCATGGGGGGGTGGTGTTAGTATTGGGGAGAGGGGGGGGGGGGTACAGTATAGGGGAGTGGTGGTGGTGTGCAGTATACCGGGGGGTGGGGGTGCAGTATAGGAGGGGTGCAGTATAGGGGAGGGGGGTGCAGTATGGGGGGGGTGGTGTTCAGTATGGGGAGGGGGGGGGTACAGTATAGGGGAGGGTGGTGGTGTGCAGTATAGGGGAGAGGAGGGGTGCAGGGAGTGGGAGGTGCAGTATAGGGGGGGTGCAGTATATGGGAGGGGGTGGTGTGCAGTATACCAGGGGTGGGGTGCAGTATAGGAGGGGTGCAGTATAGGGGAGGGGGCTGCAGTTATGGGGGGTGGTGTTCAGTATTGGGGAGGGGGGGGTACAGTATAGGGGAGGGTGGTGGTGTGCAGTATAGGAGAGGAGGGGTGCAGTATAGGAGTGGGAGGTGCAGTATAGGGGTGGTGCAGTATATGGGAGGGGGTGTGTGTGCAGTATAGGGGCGGGTAGTGTTCAGTATTGGGGAGGGGGGGGATGCAATATAGGGGAGGGTGTGTGTCTGTGCAGTATAGGGGAGGGGGGGTGTACAGTATGGGGGGGTGTTCAGGGGTCTGTGTCCAGCTCACAGGACAACAATTGAATCCCCGGCAGACTGAGGCGTCCATCACTGCAGCATATTCACCGAGCACTTCACACACACATGGGGGTTGCTTTACTAAAGGCAAATAGACTGTGCACTTTGCAAGTGCAGTTGCTCCAGAGTTTAGTAAATGAGGTGAAGCTCCCCTTTGCCAAGAATACCCAATCACATGTAAGGGGAAATAAAAACAGCATTTTTGTTTCAACATGATTGGATGATGGAAGTCAGCAGAACGTCTGCTCATTTATTAAGCTCTGGAGCAACTGCACTTGCAAAGTGCACAGTCTATTGGCCTTTAGTAAATCAACCCCTAAGTATTTATTATTATATAGTAGTCTGCCGGTGACGCAGAGCGAGTGGCCAATGGCTCCTGCTGCCATCAATCCGCTCAGAGAGGAGGGAGGCAGTAGTGAGAGTCGCTGCTCTCGGGTACATCGATGGATCGGATTGGGCTCAAGTAAGTATAGGGGGGTGCTGGGGGGGATACAGCCAGGGTCGTAGATAGGGGGGTACCACCAGTCCTACTGGCCAGGACAGCAGGGGGGCTCAGGCAGCTGGGTGAGTCCAAGTATGGGCAGGGAGGGTAAAGGATGAGGGGGGGGGGGGCAATTACTGAAACCGATCCTCTGTATGGATCTTCTCTGAAAGCCGGCTTCTTCTCTCTCCCTCTTGATGGCTTTCAGCTGCTGCAGAGAGAACCATACAGGGGATCGGTTCCAGTAAATGCACCCATCACCCTCCCTGTGCACCATACATTTCCCCCTGCTGCCCAGGCCCCCCTACGTGCCCCCCCCCCGCAGTGCTTCCGGCTTCCCTCCTCTCCTTTCCACCGGCAGCTGCAAACACACAATAGGATCCTTCAGGATGGAAGAGCGGAGTAAGTGTCCAGCAAATATGTCACGTTTACCAGCCCCTTCCTATCCTAAATGAACACAATGAGTGATCAGTATCAGTCACTCACTGTGTTCATTCATAACCGAAGCATAGTAAACTGTATTTTTTGGGGGGGAAGGGGCCCTGTCAGGTTGGTTGTATGGGGCCCCGTGGTTGCTAACAGCGGTCCTGGATACAGCGGCACAGAAGTTTTTTCACCTTTATCCATAGAATGCATTAAGGTGAAAAACTTTCACACGGGTGTTCCGTTTTTTTTCATCAGTTCAGTCATGTTTTCAAAGAAAAAAACAGATCCGTTTTTCATCCATTTACATCCGTTTCTTTTATTCTCTTTTCATCCGTTTACATCCATTTATGTCAGTTTTCATCCATTTACAGCCATTTCCATCCATTGTCATCCACTTACATCTGTTTTTCATCCGTTTACATCCATTTACATCAGTTTTTCATACATTTTCATCCGTTTTTCATCCGTTTACATCTGTTCACATGCGTTTACATCTGTTTTTCATCTGTTTACATCCATTTTAATCAATTTACATCCTTTTTTTGTCTGTTTACATCCATTTTTTTATCCTTCTGCTTTTTTTTTTTACAGAAGAAAATAGGACTTTCTGCCATTCAAAAAAATGAACATTAACAGATGTAAACGGATGATCATCCACTAGGCCATAGAAATACACGGATGTCCGATTTTCATCCATAAACGGAGAGATGAAAAACAGACATCCGGAACGCCCGTGTGAATGAGGCCTAAGACTTTAGATCCACTTTAAGCTTTGACAAAAACCTGGAAGCTGATTGGTTTCTATGCAGAGCTGCAGCAGATTTCTCACTCTCCAGTTTTAGTAAATCACCCCGATATGTCTGTGTGGAGACCGATCTGCCAAGGAAAAAAGGCAGCAAATCTGAGATATTTCTGTGTGTTTTCTTTATAGCCCGGGTTCCACCATCGGCACCATCGCCGACACTGCAGCTGAATACCCGGCTAACAATCATACCGATTCACAAGTACAGTCAACCTTTGACGAGTATGCGCGATATAATCGCACCCTGGGGGACATCCCGCTCATTTTACCAAACACAACAACTCCAGGTAGGTGAAACCATAATGGAATATTTATTAGATAAAGTTACATAGTTAGTCTGGCTGAAAAAGACAAAAGTCCATCCAGTTCAACCATAGAAAAAAAAAGTTATAATGCTACACCCAC